ATAAAGGAGATTTAACACATGAGGAAGATGATATTGATTATATAGAAAAATTCTTTGATTAAAAATATAAAAGAATGGTAAATTCCTTTGATAGAAAGTAAAAATGGATCAGAAAAGTAAAATCAATCAAATAGTAAACATTTATGAATGTAGAATAGAGATAATCAGAAACCTTAAAAGATTTGTAAATTGGCCAATAACTGGCATAATAAAACAAGTAATAAAACTACAGTATTGTGATAGTTTAGATTACCAAGAGCTTGATTGGACTATGGTATTGACAAGAGAAGGAAATGATAAATTAAAATTATTTACAATAAATATCACTGAGTATAGTAAATGTATAATGGATTCATCATATTTTAATAAAGAATGAATAATTCTATATTTATCAGAAAGTTGGAAGCAACAAAATAAAGAAGTAATTAAATTATTACAAATTTCTAAAAGATGGAATGAAATAATGAAACCATTAATTTTTGGACTTGATCACCAAGAATTAATTAATAGGATAATATACTGGATGACATTTGGAAAAAGACATCAATGGATAATTAGAGAAAGCTTCCCCACAAACTTATTAGAAATAGAAAAAATATTTATTATATGGAAACAAGTAATAAAGGAAAGAAAAAGATATCAATATCCTGAAATTATTAAGGAATTTTACATAGATGAATTGTACTATGAATCTTATATATCAGGATTTGATGGAGCAGATTGTATGATATGTAAGAAGAAATTACATGCCAAATATCAAGATAAAGATAATAAAGAAAAATGTAGAGTTATCCTTGGAATGATAGAAACTTATAATAATCATAAAGTCGAACTTAAGAAATATGAAAAGAATAATAACACAAAAATACTTTTTGATGTAACTTGCAAAGATAAGAAACAAAATTGGGAAATAATTATGACTAAAGAACAATTAAAGGAATTAATAATAATGTATATAAATAAAAATCTGAAAAAATATAAATACCACTACTATTTAGACCAAGTGAATATTCAAGAAAAAATACAACAGCTATTAGAACAAGAAATATGGTATTCAAACTTGTCATAGTCACTCCAGAGGAATTTATTAAAGTACAAACAGGACAATATGAAGAAACTAAGAAGTTATTTGAAGAAAATGAGCAATTACAGGAAATGATTGCAAGTCTTAGAAAATATATTAAATATAAAGACCCACAACAAGAAAAAATAATTGAACAAAAGAAAAGGATACATCCATTATTTGAAAACTTTAGAAGTAAATATGGAAAAGTCAACTATATTGAAGAAGAATCTCTAGGATCAAAAATGACCTTGATAGCTAAAGATTTTTAAAAAAAAGTTGAATTTCCAGGATTTGAGAAAGTAGAAAATGAAAAGTTTCTAGAGACATATAATAATCATGAATGGATAGTTATTGAACCATATCCAAGATGGATATCTCAGAATAAAGAATTAGTACAACTCATGGAAAGTGATAAGACATGGGATAAAATATTACAACCATATCTTTATAATGAATCATATCATGAAATAATTCATGTATTAAAAATACTTATTAAAAAGGAAATTGAATCATTTAAAAAAGAATTAAGAGAAGTACCAGAAATTACAAAAATTACAGAAATTACAGAAGAACATCTTGTTAAAGTAAAAGAATTCATGATACAACAAGAAGTATATACTGAATTAGTAAAAATAGTAAGAGAAAATAGATACAAAGAAATAATAGAA